CACAGGGTATCCCATAAGGCTAAATGCCGCATTTAAATTAAATTCGATTTTTAAATGCGATTAAAAACCATTCGCTCCGAACGTTTTTAGAAAAAATACCGGAAAATACCGATGTTTAACGATATTTTGTTCGTGCCACCACTAAAACAGCTGTTTTCTATAAGCAAGGTTGGCGCAATTTTTGATGTCTTTTGAATATAAAATCTATTTTGTATAAAAATGACTGAAACCTAGAGCGCATGCTGCAAATTCTGCTCGCAGTACCACAATGAATTACTGCTGGATCTCTGGCATAGAATAACTCCCACTTATACAGGGATCCTTGCCCTTTTTAGAAACTGTGGTGGTCTCCATTGCGAACCCGTCATAACAACGCAATCAGCTTCTCTTCCTTTTCGTCCAAGTTGGCAAATGGCTCGGTCGCAATATGGATGTCCTGCTGAGCATTACAGAGTTTAGTAAATTCACTCAAGTTCATTAATTTTAATTAATTTCTTTTGGATTTGCCAAAATTCAAAATTAAACAAGCCCAGATCAGCTGTTCGTGCCACTCACATGTCCAAGTAGCATTAACTAAATGCTAATGCGCCAATGGAATCAGGCACATTTAAAAAGTCCACTAATGCGGCAATGGAATCCGGCTATTATACCCATAGTATTTATATTTAAATATTGTCGAATTGTTTGGTTTATTTGTATTTTTTTTATTTATATTTTTATTTATATAAATCCATGAGTGGCCCAAGTGCGCGTGGGGATTTGAGTCCGGAGTAATATAAATACATATTCTTTGCGTATATAATTACATTCTTTTTTAAATCCCTGGTAAAGAAAGAATAAACAACCTTAAGAGCTCTTACGGTAGGTCATGGTCAAGGAGTATATAAATTTTGGGGAAACCCGAGAACGTACACTCGGGTCCACCAAAGGGTAATATGTTGTAAAAACTAGTAAATAAGAATTATTAAAGGAAAATAAGAAAGATGAACATGGAGTAAAGATTAATTAATGGGAGAGGGGGGTATATTAGTAAAAGGGGTACATAATGGTGCAATAAAAAAAAAGGAAATAAAGGTAACAAATGTATTTGGGGCAGCTGCAAGTATGTTGCTCAAGGCAGTCTGCATGTTCGGGACGGATGAGCAGGTGACCTCCAGTTCAGCAGGAGGAGCCCAAAGAATTGCCAAATGTGTGTAGGTTTAAAAAGACTAATATTTGTGTATTTTTTTTTGTTTGTTCGTGGATTGAAATTTAAATTCAAAATTGACGGTGCAGCATAGAGTGTTGCGAAACGTAGGACATGAGAGTCCAACGCGTTCTGTTGTTGTGTGAGAGGGCAGGGTTACGGGAACCACGGCCCTGGAAAATCGAGCTAGCTGGGGGCAGCCCGACTCACGCAGGACCACGCAGGTCCATAACATGCGTTTTGAAAAATATCCCTCTGATTTCTTCCATTCAAATAACTTGAAATCCAATTTAAAGAAAAGAATGGTTAACTAAATCAAAAGCTTTGCTAAAATCTGCATTTTATTATTAAATCCTTTAAATTTAATAGATGCCACTTCAAGTAGATTCGTGGGAGTAGACATTCGCTTAACAAAACCATGTTGATAAGGTATATTAGTGAGGAACAAAAATGTTGCAAATAAAAAGTAATAATGCGCTCAAATGCTTTAGGTATTGCAGACAATTTAGAAATACCTGTATAATTTTGAGCATCTGATTTTCCTTCTTTTTGTGGACTGGAGTAATAAAATAATCTTTCCAGATTGTTGGTAAAACTGATGTTGAGGTAGACAATTGAAACAGTTCAAGAATCGGTTTACTAATAGTTGATGCAAAAAACTCTCCGTCCGGCCCTGGAAAGTATGCTGGTGTTTTGGTCTCCAAATCCCTCAAAAGATAATTTTCTGTTATTACCGTGGAAAAAATACAATTTGACCTGTTTAAATTGTAAGGCTTAACTGAATTAAGACAAGAATTAAGAATTAAGACGGGTAGTTAGGAAGAACTAGGCAAATAAATCAGCAATTTCAGAGTCAGTAGACGCCTCAGTTAGGTTTAATCGGACTCTCGAGTAACTTTTCCAGTGATGCTTCCTAGACTAAAAAAGGGGAAAATTTAAGTTTCTCACGGTACGATTCAAACTCGAATTTAAGCCCGCGGTTAATTTTTGAAGTTGAACTGCTCGCTCTCATTGTTAAAGGCTGGTGCATGCAGGGTAGTTGCAAATTAACCGCGGGACCGAATTGCAAGTTCGAACCAAAAACTTAAAAGTGGGTGAGAAATCAAATTTAACTTCGAACATAGCTCTCAGCTGAGCTTGGGCAGAGGTTCGGCATTGCAAATGGTGCCTCTATATATTTCTTACTCTAGGACATTTCGAAAAATCAGATGACTAAAATATGTTCACTAAAGGCAGAGGAGTCAGCTAACAGCCTAGGTAACTTCACATTAAGTCCCCTTACATTTTGATAGAACTATAGAAGTGTTCAGTTTTTTGAAACATACCCTAAAATCGGAAATCGGCCTCTTATTTCTTTGTATTTTATGAACAAATTCTGTTATTATAAGTTCATCATCAGGCCAAAAACTTGTATTATTTAGAACGTTTAAAGCTTCTGTAGGAGCAGATGGTATACAAATTTGAATTGTTCAAATGTAATGTTTGTGGTGGGTGTTTTTCTTGAATAAACTCCATAACATCATCTAATGTAGTTTGGGGGGTAAATCGAGGAACAAGTACTTCTTTCAAATGGGGAACAACTAAAAGTTTCTTTTTACCACCACCAACACCTTGAACACTTTGAACAATTTTACTCCGACTTTCTAATGAAGGTAGCACTTCAGAGCACGCAGTATCGTTAGGAACAGCTGGCTGTAAAGCTTTTGATCCACCGGGCTGCTCTACAACTTCTCCAGTGACAGGGGCGTATGAACTAGGTGCCGGTTAAGACTCATTACAAGTATTGGGCAGATTCCTTTTCTGAAACTAAATTTAAAGAAGCGCTCGTTCCAATGAGCTCGGTTTTTGTACGCTTAGGTAACACACCTAGCAGTTATTCACTACTAAACTGTTCACTTACCTCATTGGATATTTTCTATCGACTTATCGTGGCTTGTGAAGCACTAAGAACTATGTACGTACACAGCATTGGCAACGCATGCACAGGAGAATAAAAATACAATAACAAAGCCCAGGAATTAGACAATTTTAAGTAATATTATTAAAACTCTAATACTCTAATAACGTACCAGTACTTTCAGAATTTAATCAAAACTTGACAAAATCACAGAGCACAAGAAAAGCACAACTGATCACAAGCGACGCTAAGTCGACTATAAATCTAGTTTTGAGCAATAAATAAATCGAATTATGCAATATTACGTTTAGAAAAATAAGAAAGATTGTTATCATTTATTATACATTAATGTATATAATACATTTATTATTTCACTTAAAAACTCAAAAGAATACATACACAAATCATGAACTAAACTGGTATATTAACCTTTTCCATTTCACTCCTTAAAAAATTAAAAATTATTAATATATCCTACTTTATTAAAACTAGTTAAATTGCTTATTGTTCTATTTTTTTAAAAACTGAATTGTAGGCCTAATTCTTACTAATGGCCTCGTCCCGCAGAGACCCATCCACCATCTCATTCAAAGTTGGTCCGTACTCATTCACCTTCCACCAACCGTAGAACGGAAGGTCGCTCACCCAAGACAGCAATTTGAATTCAGAAATCCATTTAACAAATACAAGCCCCATTTCACAGGGATCCATTCACCTTCCATCATCCGTTGAACGGAAAATCCATAGGGTTTGGCAGTTCCAAAATTTAATTGAGTTTGACGGACTAATTTATGCGATAGTTAGTCGATGTTTGTTCGGTGCAATCCTCTTCCCATTCCTGGGATTTTTGAAAAAAAGTGAAACTCCGGTTTCCACAGAGCACATCCACCATCAACCTTCCGATAACGGCTGATCTGAGCACCTGTGGCTCAACAAAACATAAACAAAAATGATTGACCTGTTGCCTTTGTTTATGTTTTGACGAGCTAAAGCTGTTCAGATCAGGTGGAATTGGAAGGTGGATGTGTTCTTTGGAAATCGGATTTTCTCATTTGTCAAAAATTCCAACCGTTTCCAACGGATAGACTGTGTGGAAAAAGTGCACAGTTCTTAGCATAACTATAAAATACGAGTTGGAAAAAGTACTTCTAAAAGAGTTTTATAGAGTGAAAGACCCCCTCAAAAAATTCAGCATACGGCACTGTGGCTTTTGATGGACGGTGGATGGTGGGAGCCCCAGTCCACCATCTATCAAAAATCCCAACCGTTTCGATTGGATGGGCTCTGTGAAACTGGACTTTTAATAAACTATACCCTTGCATGTTTCTCAGTTTAAGAAAATTAAACTATTTAAACAAAATAGATCTACTGGGAAAAGAAAGATATTACGGCAGTCGATGGCAGTGTGATTTCAAATATTACATTTTCGCTGACTTCCCATCGTTCCTCCAAAAATACTATATTGTGAATAGGTTATAACTTATAACTTACATTTATATTATATTTGTATATATATAAATAAATAAATATTTATATATTTATAATCCACAGCATTATAATCGAATAAAACTAGGAAACAGTAATTGTAAAAAAAAAATTTATGGAGTTAAAGACCCACTCAAAAAATTCAATATACGCCACTGTGACTTTGGATGTATGGTGGATGGTGCCTTGGCCATAATTAAGGTGTGAAACATATATTCCCACAGAGTTCGGTTTTTTAAAACAGCTCTCTCTTACTTTGATTTGCAGCTGAGCACAACTCCTTAAAAATCAAAGCTCAAGATGCATGGGAGCCCTTGAGCGGCCCACACTCGAGAAATATAAATATGTTGCAGTGGAATCAGTCTATAGCTAATTTAACTTCAGAATTATAAGTAGTCGTAAGAAATCGATGAAAATATCGATCACGTTATGATATCAGCCCTACATGTAGTAAACCTCGTTTTTCTATGTATTTTGGTTTTGATTTGTAATATAGTGCGATATTTATGGGCTCTATGTATTGTCTGAATAAAACAATGAAATGTAGAAATGCAGGGATTCTACTCTCTGATTAGAAGAGCTGCTTGGATAAAGGGGTCGTTCGGTCCACAATAAGACTCAGCCAGTTTGCCTGTGACTATATTACTTATCAACGCAAAGCAAAGCCCTGGAAAAATTGTGGTTGCTGCGTATTTAAGGCAACCCGAAAGATGAAATAATCTATTACTGTGTGTCTAATGGTGGTATTAGGTAAAAAATGTCATATTACAGCAAAATCTAAGAACTGTTAAAAGTGTTTACCATCTTATGAAGGTTCCGTGAACGTGGCGATTGGCGTTCTTAGAGAAAAGCAGAATAAACTAGCTGCGGCTACGTGTGTCAAGGAGTTCAACCTTCAGGTAGACGAATGTTATAAATTGCTGACCTAACGAACACATCGTTGATGCAGATGCCGGACATTCGTGATAATACATTAAACAACAATACCGGCAGCAACAATGTTTCGACCCTGTCCAACGCTAAAATGCACGGAAACTTTAAACTGCTAGCTGATCCACAGTTAGTAAAATGTGGCGCCAAACTCTATCGTTACGATGGCGTCGTGCCAGGAGACCCGACATATCCAACAATAACGCCCAGGGATCCTCGGAATCCTCTTGTTCGAATACGCGCCAGGGCAGTTGAACCACTTATGCTTTTAATACCTAGGTAAGATTACTAACCTTGTCTCAAAATTGAAACTAATCCATCGTTTTATAAGCAGATTTGTCATTGATTCGGACTACGTCGGCCAGCCACCCGCTATCGAAGTCACTCTGGTTAACCTCAATGATAACATCGACAAGCAGTTTCTTTCTAATATGCTGGACAAATGTGGAACGTCTGATGAAATAAGTATTTACCACCATCCAACGACAAACAAACATATGGGCATCGCTCGAATTGTCTTTGAAAGTGCAAAGGGAGCAAGACAGTTTGTTGAGAAATACAATAAAAAATCTGTAATGGGAAAGGTATGGCGAATATATTTGTATAGATGTTTATCACATTTTAATTTTACTATTTTAGATATTAAATGTGTTCTGCGACCCATTTGGTGCAATATTAAAGAAAACTATTGAAAACCTAACAAATCCGGTTGTGGCGAAACCATTAATTGTAACGCCCCAATCAAATGTGCAACACGTTGCGTCCCACGATGGCGAGATAAAGCACGGATATGCTAAAAAGGATTCTACCGATCCTCTTAATTGTGTTTACAGCATAGGAGAACGCAGTAAGGATAGAAACTGGGATCGGGACAGGGAAAGGGAAAGAGATCGCAACCGTAGTCGACATTCATCAGAGCGAAGTTACGATCGTGAGCGTGAAATGCGAGAAAAGTACCCAACTTCTGTAAGGCAAGATCGCTGTATCTACCGTCGGCGTTCTAGAGATATAAGCCCTGAAATTTCTCGTGATAGATTGTTTATTGCAAGAGATAGAGTTAAAAACTCCGATCCACGGCCACGCGACTACAGTTGTCCGAGGGAGCGCGATTTATTTCGTGACTGTAGAAGATCTCGCGACAAAGCACGAGATCAACCCAGAGATAAAAGGGAACATCGATACAACTCATCGAAAGATCGAGAGTACCGTGAAAGAGAACGCGACCGATCTGTTGACAACAATAGAAGGGAGCGAGCCAGTCTAAAGTACAATAACCGGTACACCATGCATGAACATACCGAATCTGATGTTAGAAGGTCTTCAAACACAAAATCTAATTTCTATTCAGGACTTTCAGGATCTAGTTCACATGACGAGAGCTACGGATGTAATAGTTACTCGTACTCTTCTAATGAAAATATTCAGACATGGTCTGATCATAGAAGTTGGACTGCGCCCCAGCTTAACTTTCAGCCTCTTCTACCTCCTCCACCGCCACCAGAAGCGGAAGAAAATTGGGATGACGATGAACAAATAGTTGATAAAAATGTTGCCAGCGCAAAACCTCAGTCGCCAAAAAAGATAAACATTAATTCTTTGACTCCAATTAATACAGTGTCAGAACAAAGTACAGAAACAGGGAACGTAGATTTAGATACTCGGATAGCCCTAATATTTAAAGGAAAGACTTTTGGTAATGCACCACCTTTTCTTCAAATGGATAGTAGCGATTCGGAAACGGATAAAGGCAAACCAGATGTATCTTTTGACAGTATTTCTGATTCAGTTAGTTTAGAGAACAAGAAAAAGTCATACGACAAAAATATGAAAGTTCTACAACAACCAAATGGAGCAAGTGATATATCAAGTGACGAAGAAATAACAGTCAAAAAGGAAAGGTCTAAACACAGTTTTACAATTGAAAGAGAAAAAAATGATGACAATATGTCTTTATCGAGCTTATCTTCTCATGAGGATCCCATTCAAAATTTATTGACTTTGGAGGATGAAAAATATAAGAAACCTATTATTTCATCGTCCTACATGTATCAAAATACAACAGATCACCATTCTTATTATTACCATGCATCTGGTTATGGACATTATCCTTCCGGTTTCCCGCCGGACTCTTCTTTAACTAACAGATGTTTTCCTAAATCCGCCTACATACAACCCGGGTTCTTGACAGGAATTGGTTCATTCAGTTTGGATTCCTTTACTGAGCCTTATAACTATCATATGACTATTGTTACAGATCAGAATGACGAGCTACGACAAAAAGTTAAAAAGGTTATAAACTATATTGTCGAAGAGCTAAAACAGATTTTAAAGAGAGATGTAAATAAGCGTATGATTGAAATAATTGCGTTCAAAAATTTTGAGACATGGTGGGACGATCATTCAATAAAAGCTCGATCGAAACCTATACCCGAAATTTCAGAGTCCTCCTTTATTAAAAACTCAAATTCCCTTAAAGAAACACCGTATACGGAGAAGCCTTCTGACAATAATCAGCTTTTTAATGCACAACGAGAAATTTCCGATTTTCAATCGTTCTCAAGTATTGGTTTAAGGGCAGCAATGCCCAAGTTACCTTCGTTTCGGCGCTTACGAAAACTTCCGAGTCCTACTCCAAACCTAGAGAATTTTTTGGAAAGAGATCTAAGTGACCAAGAGGAAATGGTTCAACGTTCGGACTCTGAAAAGGAAGATTCTAACATGGGAAGTTCTGACACGGCACTTTCAAACTTAAAGGGTCAAGTTTTGAACCAAGATTCTGATACGAAATCGCATACATCAGGATTAAATTTAAAAAGAAAGGGAAGTGCTTCAAGTTTCTTTTCTTCATCATCTTTATCCTCATCTAGTGAAGCTGATTACGAAGGCAACGAATGTGCTGAAAAGGAAAAAACTAGTGAAGAAGATAGTCTTGAAGAATATAATCGAAGGAATCTTAATCAACGGAAAAAAATCAATAGGAATAGAAGCCGGACCGGTTTAACTGTTATTGAAGATATTGACATGAAAATTGTCTATTCGGACTGTGACGAATACAAAAGAGCAAAACGAGTTCGCTCCAAAAAAATGAATATTTATTCCGATACCGACGAAGATAATGAAAGTACTAAATTAAAGACTTTGTTGCCTGCGTTACAGGAAAAAAAAATGTCATCTATTCCGTCTGATCTCGAAGATATAAGTAAAGATAGTTGCTTTGGATTGGACGAAAGCGAGATTGACTCCACAGAACTAAGAACAACTCCAAAAAATAATGAAGAATGTCGCCGCTCTCTTACCCCTGTTCCGCCTCCGGACTACAATGAAGAGGCTGTTCAAAGAAAAGATGATTTTAAACAAAAGTCCGTTTTCGAATATGATAGAATTTACAGCGACTCTGAGGAGGAACGAGAGTATCAGGAGAAGAGAAAAAGAAATACCGAATACATGGCACAAATTGAAAGAGAATTTTTAGAGGAACAAGAAAAGAAGACCGAAAAGGCTCTGGATGAAATCCGGTTATCGTCTTGTACTGAAGTAGAAAGCAGAACATCCCCAAATGTTAAAAATGAAGAAAATCAAGATATAACAATTCTTCAAAAGAGCACAAGTTTTAATTTAAATCAATTCGTTGAAAATATTCAGCCTCTCCATAACATAAATATGAAAAACGAAATGGGAGCTAATAGAGAGCGTCAAGTAACTTCAAATGGTTGTAACAAATTGTGTGCAAATTCAAAGAACGAAAACAAAGGTACGCAATCACCAGCCTCTTCAGACGGTGGCTCCAGCCAAGCATCGCAGGCAAGCCAGGTTGCGCTAGAGCATTGTTATTCGTTGCCTCCCCATGCACAGTCGGTTTCCTTTGACGATATTCCATCCGAAAGGTTATTCGATAATAAAACCATTTTGGAAAGAGATCTGGAGACTATTGTTCCTGATGTCGACCAAATGACGAGATCAGGCCCAGGCAGACCTCGAAAGGATTCTAGTCGTACTCAAAGGAAAAAGAAAGATTCAATACCTCGGATGTCAAATGTGAAGACTAAAATAGCAACATTTACAAATGCTTTGGACGCATTGTCACGCCAAACAGCAACTTTCGTTCCGTATGAGATGTACAAAGCTCGTGATCAGAATGAGGAAATGGTTATTTTATACACTTTCCTGACCAAAGGCATCGATGCAGAAGATATTAACTTTATAAAAATGAGCTACTCGGACCATTTGCAAAAAGAGCCATACGCGTAAGTTATTTTTTTGTAAATGTAAATTTATAATAAGGTCACGTTTTTTCTAGAATGTTTTTAAATAACACCCATTGGGTAGATCACTGTACTACTGACCGATCCTTTTGGCCACCACCACCAAAGAAACGTAGAAAAGATGATGAACTGATGCGCCATAAGACTGGATGTGCTCGAACTGAAGGCTTTTACAAATTGGATGTACGAGAAAAGGCTAAACACAAGTACCATCACGCCAAAGCCAATACAGATGATTCCCATAATGAAGATCGTAGTGATGAACCTACAGCCCTTACCAACCATCACCATAATAAATTAATATCTAAAATGCAAGGCATATCCCGAGAAGCGCGCTCAAACCAGCGCCGACTGTTGACAGCTTTTGGTTCTATGGGTGAGTCTGAGCTTCTAAAATTTAATCAGCTCAAGTTTCGGAAAAAACAGCTTAAGTTTGCAAAATCTGCGATCCATGATTGGGGATTATTTGCAATGGAGCCTATAGCTGCAGATGAAATGGTAATTGAATACGTTGGTCAAATGATTCGCCCCGTGGTTGCTGATCTAAGAGAAACAAAGTACGAAGCAATTGGAATTGGTAGTTCTTATCTGTTTCGAATCGATATGGAAACGATAATCGATGCTACTAAATGTGGAAACTTAGCACGATTTATAAATCACAGTTGCAATGTAAGTATATGTGCATTTACTAATAAAAAATTGATGTAATAATAAAGTACGTTTTTTCTAATATTATTATAGCCGAACTGCTACGCTAAGGTCATTACCATCGAGTCTGAAAAAAAGATAGTTATATATTCAAAGCAACCGATTGGTATCAACGAAGAAATAACGTACGATTATAAATTTCCATTGGAAGAAGAAAAAATACCATGTTTATGTGGCGCCCAAGGATGCCGGGGTACACTTAACTAAAACCTAAATATATATATTACATTTTAAAATTAGCAACTGTGAATTAAATATTCTGAAGCACGCGAATCGATTTTTATGTTATATATTAAAAGTGGGTGCTCATGTAAATATAAATAGTAGCGATTTTTTCCTAGACAATTTTTTAATGTGTAACCTGAAAAAAAAATTTGCAATTTGATTTAAATCAACAAGGTTAGATTTGTTCTAAAATTGCGAAAGAGGGATGGAGTTTCTGTTAGTTTATAGCATTATAATAGATCTTAGAACTTTAGCCATGTAAGACCAACTTATATAAAATACCTATAAAACTGTAAATAGTTACATTTAGAACAAACATTCAATAAAAAATGATCAAAGGTTGAATTAAATATATTTATTTAATTTTACACTTTTTGCAAACAATGTTCAATTGATATTCTTGTCTCAATTGGATGATTCAGCAATGTTTTCCAAAGAAAATTCAAATGTTTTTTATCAAAAAAGAGAAAAAGAAAAACCGAATACATGGTTCAAATTAAAAGAGAATTTTTAGAGGAACAAGAGAAGAAGACCGAAAAGGCTTTGGGTGAAATCCGGCCAACGTCTTGTTCTGAAGAAAGCGGAAAGTCCCCAAATATTAAGATTGAAGAAAATCAAGATATATCAATCCCTCAAAAGAGTCCAAGTTTTAATATAAATTAATTAATTAACACGAAATTACCAACGAAAAGGACGCCAAATTAAAGGGTGTTGTAACTTCAAATGGTTGTTACAAATTGTGCGCAAATTGAAAGGACGAAAACAAAGGTACGCAATCACCAGCCTCTTCAGACGGTGGCTCCAGCCAAGCATCGCAGGCTAGCCAGGTTGCGCTAGAGTATTGTTATTCATTGCCGTGCCACGCAAAGTCAGTTTACTTTAACGATGTTCCATCTGAAAGGTTATTCGAAAACAAAACCATTTTGAAAACAGATCTGGAGACCATTCTTCCTGATTTCGACCAAACGACAAGATCATGCCCTAGAAGACCTCAAAAAGATTCTAGTCGAACTGAAAGGAAAAAGGAAGAATCAATACCGTGGATGTCAAATGTGAAGACTAAAATAGCAACATTTACAAATACCTTGGACGCATTGTCACGCAAAACGGCAACTTTTGTTCCGTATTAGTTTTACAAGGCTCGTGATAAGAAAAAGGAAATGGTTATTTTATTCACTTCCCTAATCAATGGCATCGAATCGGTAGACATTACCATTGTAAAAATGAGCAATTCGAAGCACTTGCAGAAGAGCCATATGCGTAAGTTATTTTTCTTAATAAAATATGGTTTTATAATAAGCTTACAATTTTTCTAGAATGCTACGTACTAATTACTGATCTTTATGGCATGCGCAACCAAAGATACGTAGAAAAGATGATAAACTGATGCTGATTACATAAGATTGGATCTGCTCGAACTGAAGTCTTTTACAAATTGGGTGTTCGAGATTTAGCACAATTACCATCACGCCAAAGCCAATATAGATGATTCCCATAATGAAAATATCGAACCTTCAACACAAAAAACATTTAATATCAGATATTTTGACAATTATTATGATTCAGAGCTTGTTCTCATAATAAAAATGTATCGCCCCTTCAACTTCAAAAACCCTTTCATGTCAGATTTAATGCCAATTATTATTTATTCTTTTTAAAAAAAATATTTACAGATTAACTGTGCCGGCGACAGTCTTCAGAGAAAATTGTTTACACGTCTGCACGTGGAGTCTTGTACTTTATTTTTATATACATAATTGGCACCCATCCTTGGAAGTGCTAAGTAATAAGGCTGATTTGTGCCTATCTTCAATATTTGAAACATTTTCTTTCGCACTTTGCCTCCTGTAACAACTCAATAAATCACGTTAGATTGTCTTTTATAAATGTTCTTTATTTTCACTCTCCTTCCGCTGCGAGTGCCAAAATCAAACTAAACTAATTATGTTGAGAACAGTGATCCAAGGTCTAGGAAGAGAGAGAGAGCCTCGCTCTCCTACAACCGTCATCGCTGGCTTAGCTCCTTGGTGCCGGTTCCCACACCTCCCATACTCCTGAACCAATTGACTATCAAAAAGTCTTAGTATGTATAAACTCTTATAAAAGCGACACCTGATTGCTATCTTATTTTTTAAGACCGGTCTGTTCTGTACTGATTCGCATTATTTCGGTTATACATATATAGTAGTTTCCTTGGGCGGTCGTCCACAGTGATTACCATTAAAAATGCCTGGCACATCACGAGACGCGCTATGGCAAATCGGCGATTCATGAATGGGGATTATTATCAATGACGCCTATAGCTGCAGATGTAATGGTTATTAAATACGTTGCCGATATTAGAGAAACAAAGTACGAAGTGATTAAAATTGGTAGTTATTAGCTGTATCAAATCGACATGGAAACGATAATGGATGCCATGGAATGTGGAAACTTAGCACGATTCATAAATCACAGTTGCAATGCAAATACATACATACATGTGAATTTTCTAAGAAAAGAAAGGAATCAAACTTTAAAAATATTCATTTTCACCATATTTTTTTTTCAAATTGTTGATGTTCTGTGAATTTTATCAATACAAAAAACTGGATTGTTTTAGATAAAGGCAGTGTCTTTTTATTTCGCAATCAACACCAGTGAAATAATTCCTAATTCACTTTGCTGTCCCGTTTTTGTGCATTGCATTTCACCAATTACTTGTGCGACGCCTTGTTGTTGTTGTTGTTGCAATTGCTCTCAAAACGTTTACTGCTGAACAACCACACGCACCTGATATTCCCGGTGTAGAGCTTTGACAAAAAGCTTTTAACTGCGCTCTTCGCTTATTGTTTTGATCGGCTCTCCGCTGCAAATATGTATATGTTTTTTTATACCGATCTTGTCCAATCTGTATAAACAATTTCCATGATGAGTTCATGCTGTGCAATTTCCTGCGCTCACAACAATAAAATAACTTCCCGTCAACCTTTAATTTGTTGTTGGATTTGTGATAACGTGGCGCAACATAGCTGGGTTGAGATGGGGCGTGTGGACGTGTCCGAGCTGCAGGCACATCGAAGTCGACATGAAATCGTTGATGTGGCAAACTCACTTAGATTTCATGGCCTTTCATCTGAATTTCGCGAGCCTCGCGATTAATTCAATTCTGCCGAATCCCACTTTAAAAACTTAAAGGTGCCAAGTCTTGTCCAAAATTCTAAAAATAGTAGTTGTCCTCTACCTTATAACAATTGAATTCTTCCAGAGACAAAGAACTTTACGACTCCAGCGTAGTTCCTCCCCCTCCTCCTTAACGTAAGTTGGTGCGGGCAAGAGGCAGGATGCAGCATTAACTTTACCGACTGTTGCCTCGGCGACGGCTCTGGGTGCTCTTCATCAACGTCCACTTATTGTACCGCAGCCTGCTTATACCAACTCACCTGGACCAACATTGTCAGCAATGTCTGGATTTGCGCCCAAGAAATCGGCGCCATTAGTTGGCGTTGCACATAATACGTTTCCGTATTTAAGTTCAGTTTCAGATGTCTTCGTTTAAGGTTGGAATTTCTGACGTACATATTAATAAATTCCTCGATATTTCAATCTGGCCGATGCATACCATTGTTCACGAGTACGTAAAGAATTTAATTCCTTAAGTTCGCGGTCCTCTAACACCTTCAACCAGAGATCCAAAAAACTAATCTATTTAATTTCCTTGCACTATCAGAATGTTCGTGGTTTATTGGACAAATTTAGTAAACTGCATGTCAATAGTGTCTCTTTTGATGCCAATGTGATTGTTTTTTCTGAAACGTGGCTTAATTCCTCAGTGTCCGACTGAAGAATATTTGCGGAAAACTATGTCATCTATAGATGTGATCGTAAAATACTTCTTGTTGGTGGTGTTCTTATTGCCGTAAAGACCGGCTTGGTTTCAGAATAAAGTCCGATAATCGACGTCGAGAGTATTTAGAGTTTTTTGCTGTTCGTATTATCGTTCATGAATATTTTATTTGCGTCTCATGCTGTATATTCCACCCCAGTCTGATATATGTATACCAGCAGCACTTGGCTCAAATTCAGATTATTCACTCAACCCTTAGCAATAACGACCAATAGATTATATTGCTATGGGCGACTTTAAACTGCCTGCCATTTCCTTGATGTTATTATCTAAAATAGAACCAGCTTATTTTCGTTGCTTTCGCAAAGCCAATTTTACTGAAATGAATCATAATTTATCTGGAGTGAATTGGTCTTTTATGGATTCAAACGATGATCATTTAAACATTGTAGAACGGTTTTACGGTTTACTCGGTTCCGTTTTTGATATTTATGATCCTTCATTTCCCTCAGCCGAAGTTTCTCACAAGCCTCCTTGGCTTAAGTCCAGACTTTTTAAGAAATTTAAGAGGTCGGGGATGCAAGTAGATACCTAACTCCGCGCTCTGGTTTCTTAATTCCCAATGCTACAAGAATTAGCCTAATCGTTGCAGAGTCGAGTTGCACGATAACCCCAAGCAGTTTTATAAGTTTGTTAATTAAAGCAAAAAAATTTCAACAATTTCCATTATCTTCATCTTGACACCGTTTCAGCTTTAAATGTGTTCGTTATTGCAAACTTATTTGCAAATTTTTTCCAGTCTACACATTCATCTGTTAACGCCGACAATAACTCAGTCTATCCTTACTCACTTCCGCACTCTTACTGTTTATTTAAGCCCTTAATCAGCGAAGATGACGTTTTTCATCATTTTCAATCAATCAAGTCTTCCTTCTCTTCTGTTCCTGAGTCATCTGGGACCCCTTCTGTTAGGGATGTTTATAAATGACTAGCCGCAAGTTATTCTCTCTTCCAATGTTATGATGTACGCCGATGACGTAAAACTCTGTTCCACCAAACGGATTTAAACAATCTGCTGTATTATGCACACATATTGTAAACCTACTGTACCAAAAGTAATTAAAGGGTATACACTGTAACTGTTTACATAATACAAATGTCCCAGTCTTAAACCCAAGTGGCCAAAACAGAACCGATCGCTATGCCTTGGACTACATAGCGATCGCATAATTGTAACACGAACGGATCACAATTAAAATAATAATGTAAAAATCAGAAAACATATAAACGTTGGAGCGGCACCATTGCTGCTCCTACAAAATAAAGAAACAAATTTAGCTTAAAAACTTGATATTTCAATTATGATCAAAGAGGATACTTTATGGCGACCATAACATGGTCCGGGGGGACCTGAAACTAACAAGGATATATGGAAGAATAACAACCTGGAACACTGGCAAAGGAGAAAAGAGAGAAGCTGACCATTACCGAGGAAACAGAAATCCGCTCCTTCTACCAACGCGGGAAACTGGCAAATAGGATGGAAAAATCAAAAGTCTGAGTGATTAGAGTGCGAGTAATGGGCAAACGCGGAGGCCAAAAAACAATATAAATAAAAGAATAGCTCAAATTAAGTGGCTATTATACACAAATACGCCGCCCACATGGGCAGCAGCAGAAAAATTAACTGCTGAACTTTTATTTAAAAGAATTCCTCCAGCTACGCAAGCCAAATACCGCGACTTATTCAGCAAATATTAAAGTTATAAATGAAAAAATAACTAATAGTGATTTATTGATCTCCAAAGCCTGTGCCGAAGAAACCTGACGTCTGCCCGAACGACTGCCCTGGACCACTAGACACCGCAGCATGCAGAAACACATGCATGAAGAAGACCAGTGCGAAGACCGGCACCGGCCCCGCCTGAGCTCCTAGGCTCGGGACAACAGCAGCAGAGATCTCAACAAGCGTGAAAACACCAGAAGATACTTTATTGGAAGCAGCCAAAACAACAGCGCAAGTGGCGGATTGCCTTCGAAGGAGCGTCAGTAAAGCCAAGCCGGCGACGACCAGCTGACGCGGGGAGCACCGGAGAAATATTTTAATACCTTTTGCACTGCGATGCATAATTTTTTTTAATTTCACTGCGATGCATATTTTTTTTAATAATATTATATAATTTTTGTAAAACTGAGCGGAACCCTTTCTGCCCAGTTAGAAGTATGACCCGTAAAGCCACACGAAAAATTAATTAAAAACAAAATAGAAAATTACAAATTACTAAAATTTTTAAAAAAAATTAATATAAAATTCAATTCAAAAAAAAAAAAAAAAAAAACAATTTCATCATTTTTTCTTCAAGAGCCAATGGCAATAACAATTACATGGCACATTAATAATAAATCGCTAAAAAAAACCACATATAATTGGCATAAATTATGAAACACCCAAAATGGGTTTAGTAGACACCAAAGTGGTAGCGTTGAGTCGTTGTAAATAAGATCGAATCTGAAAAAATTGACACAGAAATGATCACAATAATAATAGCAGTTATTATGTTAGCAAATGCGTTTTTAAAATTATATACATTTCACAATAAGTGCCTACTCAAAAGATTCCAAAGTCAAGGAAACGACTTGGACGACTTTGCCCATCATAATTGCGATCATTATTGGCATTAATCAATATAAAACAAATATATATTAACATATTCATTCATCTTACAATAATTCCCAATATCCTTCTTATTTTTTCTTTAAATAACTAAAAATTAACACTCTAGATGCTGTTACAAAGGTCTATAGGAATGACACAAATTCTCCACATAGAATTATAAAATTGGTCTCAACGACTCCAAGGAGCGTATTAGAGCACGAATACAGTTACATTGATTTAGTCAGGTTAGATTTTTCACCAATGATTCATTGCTCAAGAAAACAAAAAGAAATTGTATTATCAACAACTCCAGGCGTTTTCGTAAAATCAGTTATAAAACAATATGAATATTTATTATTTATTATTATTTACAAAAAACCTTAGTATGGAATGTTAGGAATTAACTACCCATATCCATAAAATAAAAGACGCTTTTATAAAATCCTATAAGAGTTTAAGCCCAAAAAAGCCAATACAACAAGATACAATAAGAAAACATGAAAACATAATGAGGCAAGAATATTAGTGCATGAAAATAGAAAAATAATAAGTAAAATCAACTGGCCAAAGGTATCAAAATTATTGATCAAGTTACGTTCGAGCTTATTAACAGTCAGAGAGAGATATAAATTGGATATAGCTATACCAACAATTTTAAACACCCCTCTGACAATAGATCCAAGTGAAGAACTTGAATCAAATAACCCTGAACCAACTTAGTCAGACACGCAGAAAGCTCCGACTCTAAGGTAGAGGAAGAAACTAAGTTAGAAGAAACCGATCTACATGATCTATCTATCCCTGCGGTGTTAACAATACCCAAAACACAGGAAGAGGATACTAAAGATTCAGACCTGGATTTAATAGAATCCAAGCCCACCATAATGGCAGACGAAACCATTGCCCAGCGGGCATATATTAAAGGTATATCAAGCGCCATACACGAATTCAGTGGCCAAAAATTGTATCTACGAAGGTTCATAACAGCAGTCAAATTGGTCGACTTAAAAATAGAACCATTTGAACACCTGGCTATCGAAGTAATTAAGTCGAAAATAGTAGGCTAAACCTTATACTAGGCAAAATGAAACCGCTATTACGGCAATAATTGCGAAGCTGGAAGCCAATGTCGTCGGTGAAACATCCGATGTACTAAAGGCTGAAATGACTAAAACAAGTTCATATACCCTTGCAGCTATCGCAAGAATTAAATATTTTTGAAAACATTAAAATTATGATTTACTTGCGTATATGTTTAAAAACATTGAAGCTATGACGATTTGCAGCTTAATTATTTGATTGTTCTTTTATATATTTTTATTATTTGTATGGGAGCTATATGATATAGTCGTCCGATTTTGATGAAATTTAAACCATAATTCTGAAATATTTAACCATTGCTATATGTCGAAGAACTAAAAAAAAATTAAAAAACAGCAAAGTTATAATTTTTTTCAATTATTTTTCCGATTGTTCCTATGGGAGCTATATGCTATAGTCGTCCGATTTTGATGAAATTTTAACCATAATTCTGAGATATTTAACCATTGCTTTATGTCGAAGAACTAAACAAAAAATTAAAAAACAGCAAAGTTATAATTTTTTTTCAATTATTTTACCGATTGTTCCTATGGGAGCTATATGCTATAGTCGTCCGATTTTGATGAAAATTTAACCATAATTCTGAAATATTTAACCATTGCTTTATGTCGAAGAACAAAACAAAAAATTAAAAAACAGCAAAGTTATAATTTTTTTTCAATTATTTTTCCGATTGTTCCTATGGGAGCTATATGCTATAGTCGTCCGATTTTGATGAAATTTAAACCATAATTCTGAATTATTTAACCATTGCTATATGTCGAAGAACTAAACAAAAAATTAAAAAACAGCAAAGTTATAAATTTTTTTCAATTATTTTTCCGATTGTTCCTATGGGAGCTATATGCTATAGTCGTCCGATCCGGCTCGTTCCGACTTATATACTACCTGCAATAGAAAGACAACTTTTGGGAAAGTTTCATGCAGATAGCTTTAAAACTGAGAGACTAGTTTGCATATAAACGGACGGACAGACGGACAGACGGACGGACAGACGGACGGACAGACGGACATGGCTAGATCGACTCTACTAGTGACGCTGATCAAGAATATATATACTTTATAGGGTCGGAAACGTCTCCTTCACTGCGTTGCAAACTTCTGACTGAAATTATAATACCCTCTGCAAGGGTATAAAAAAAGCTGCTGAGAAATGTACCAATGAAATAGACAATTTACGAAAGCTTCTTGCAGCTTCGTATATCGATGAAGGGTTGTCAGCCGAACATGCTGATTAGTTAAGCACAAAAGAAGCCAACACAACAATGGTTAAAAACTGTGAGCATGGTAGACTAAAAACAATTCTAGAAGCTGGTAACTTTACCACAATGAATGATGCCATCACGTAGTATATACAATGTAGTACGGAAATGACGGGCAACGCGAAGTCCATATTATACGCACGTGGAGGACTACAATGGTCACTACCAATACGAAAACTTAATGACAACGCAAACAGAATAAAAATAATAATAATAATAAGAATAAAAATAAAAATAATAATAATAATAATAATAATAATAATAATAATAATAATAATAATAATAATAATAATAATAATAATAATAATAATAATAATAATAATAATAATAATAATAATAATAATAATAATAATAATAATAATAATAATAATAATAATAATAATAATAATAATAATAATAATAATAATAATAATAATAATAATAATAATAATAAAAGTAATAATAATAATAATAATAATGTACAAGCTACGCCGGAAAACTCGTAGACTCCCTTAAAAAGAAACAAACGTAAAACAAACGGTTCATACAATCAACCTTAATTTCAATTTTTTTGTTTCACTTCAGAATGAACAAACTAAAAAATTATACACATTATTAGTTCATACTGGTGCAGATATTTCGTTAATAAGAGAAAATTCAGATTCATTTAACGTAGATCACACAAATATTATTCAAACATCAGGTGTTGGTGAAGGAACAACCAACTCCAAGGAACTAACTTCAATAGAACTCCTTTCAAACAACTATGCCATCCCACATAATTTTTATTTAGTTACAACAGATTTTCCAATTCCATGTGATGGGATAAATGGAATCGACTTCATGAAAAAATATAATTGTCAAATAGACTTAAAACCAGAAAACGATTGGCTTATACCACTAACCATACAATATATAGACTGGTCATTTCATACAACGAATTTGGACACAAAAAAATTGAAAGCGGGAGGCCCCCCGGGCTCTCAGCAGCAGGCCCCTGCACTTCGTGTGCATTCGGGTTTTTTGCTCTCTCATTCTCATTCTCATTTTTATGCTCGCGCACTCATTGCACGAGTTCAGTCGCAGAGAGGCGCTTTTTGAAGAAGGCTGCCCTGCGCTTGAATTCGCCTTTGTATGTATGCGTGATCATGCATTCTCATACACGGGAGCATGTGTGCGTTTATTTCATTTCGGCGCATCATGAATATTTTGTCTTTTGCCACTTTTCAAACTTGGTACCCTAAGAATATGGGCGTATTTACTATTGGGTTATGATCAAAATATGAATATTATATGTTATAATATATTTTTTGATATTTCAGCATACATTTTATTTTTGTTTACAAATTCAAATCAGTGGAAGCAGTAAAAAGTTTTACATATATGTATGTATTCGAATTAATAGAAATCAGTCCACTGAGATGGATACAGAGCATATCGCAGTCGTGTCACTTAAAACACCGACTGCTCCTCAGTGGTTGAGAAAACTTCAAACTTCAAAAAAAAACCTCAATCAGCTTTTGTCGATGTTTTGCGAGCGGATTGTGCTTGCATACCCTACCGACGATTGCTTTTCAGAGGAGAGAGCTTTTAGGACACTTGTTTAGAATGTTATGATGAATTATACGCAGTGTAATTTTAATTGTCTTTAACGATTGTAATTGTCTTTAAGCAATTCTTTATAATCCAAGATATTGGCACAATTCAAATTTAAAATTATTATCATTAAAATAACATTTAAACAAAGTATGCGGATTTTTATATTTGTTCCATTTACCTTTACAAAAATATAAAAAATATTTTATTATTTATTCACTTCACAGGCATTCTATTATATGGATGCCCTAATTGTCATCGGTTGTTCAGAAAAGCATATGATTAAAAACCTCACAAACGTTTCTGATTTATGCAGGAAACACAACCTTAAATTGCACCCAGAAAAGTTCACATTTTGCAGACACGAAGTGACTTTCCTTGGACATAAGTGTACTGACAAAGGTATTTTACCAGACAACAAGAAATATGAGGTCATAGAAAAATAGCCAGTTCCAACGGACGGAGATAGCGCTAGAAGATTTCTTGCATTCTGCAATTATTACAGAAGATTCAATAAAAATGTTTCCGATTTTTCACGACTCAACGCGTTTATGCAAATAGAATGTAAAATTCGAGTGGACAGATCAATGTCAAAAAGCCTTCGAGTACCTAAAAAAAACAACTGATGAAACCAACATTATTACAGTATCCCGATTTTAATAAAGAATTTTCCATTACAACCAGTAGCGTAGATAGGGGGGGATCAGGGGGATCAATCCCCCCCTTGGCTCTGAGAATTATAAGATGATATAATCTCAAAATTGAAAAAGAAACACATTTTTCTTCTGACTGTGCAGTACAGCATATTATGTTCAATACTGTTGACTTCTTGTCAACCGACAAATTCTTCCTGGAATCTTTTAGCTTGCCAGCGGTCGCTGCGTTTGCCAGGATTTACGCAGTTTTGGCGTCTGCCTGCCGGTTTGTTGTTCATCAGGTGGGTTCGTGGAAAATATGATAACTCCAGCGCTTCTAACGGACCGACCAATCATGCGACCTCCAAGTGATACTTCAGACAGTCACAGTGCCTCCCAGTTTACTACGTGCTGCGGCGCTGCATCAGCTGCATATAATAGTTTCGAGTATGCATTTCGTTTATATTCTATTAAAATGAAGCGATTTTTAGTACCTGTAAAACCATTTTGCAAACCTCCAAAAACTGAAGACAATGAAGAAGCGCAATCATCTGTCGAAACAGCCGTGAAAAACCTCGGTACGCTGCATCGGGTAGTGAAAATACGGGCGATCAAAGCTCATGTAGTGAAGGCAACAAAAACGTTAAACAACGTAAATAAACACGACGTCGGAAATTTTATTGGCATCAGACTTAGTGAATCTCAGAGGCTGGACTTATTAACAAATGCTTGGGTTCCGCCAAAAAATTACTTTTTTCCATTGCTGCAAAAATTCGAAACTCGAAAATTAAAATTTTGTTACAAATGGTTTTATTGAATTTTCCTGGCTTGCTTACTCAGAATTGCATCATGGTGCATTTTGTGTTCCGTGTGTAGCATTTGCTGTAAGAGGTGACAAAGGGTCACAACCTTTAGATCATTTGGTGAAAGTGAAATTCGATAATTGGAAGAAAGCAAAAGAGGTGTGTACCATAATTATCATCCGAGCCAGCAAACCCGGGACCTCTCAATTTCGCGTGGAGTGCTCTAACCAACTGAGCTACTTCGGAATCCTAATTTGCTCGCTGAAAACCTCCAATTTATGTTTGAAGTTACTTTTTGTCTAACTAGAGATCGACATTTTCACGAATTTGTTTATCCGTCAAAAAACCTTTGACGTTGACATTCAATAAATTGAGTGGAAATATTGAAAAAATCAATTTATCTTGAAATTGATTTTTCACCCACTGAAAAGCTTGAATTTCTTCTTCGATAAGAGAATTTTTATACCCTTGCAGAGGGTATTATAATTTCAGTCAGAAGTTTGCAACGCAGTGAAGGAGACTTTTCGACCCTATAAACTATATGTCGCAGTTCTCAGAAATATTTGAATTCGATGAACGCTAAAGTTATTTGGCGCTCCGATTTTGTTGTCGCTTGGCATAAGCCGCTGGTTCCTGGTAAAACATGGATTCTAGGAATTCCTGCTCTACTCGTAGCGCGACGGCATTGCCAGATCTCTTTTAGAGTGGCGTAGTCGTCGAGTGAGGCCCGGTCGCCCAAGAGAGAGAGAGAGAAACCGGAGAGCAAGAAGTTGCAAGAAGATGAGCTCTGGTATTTGAAGGGTAGTCAGTTTGAATTGGGCTCTTGGCGCGATCGGGACTTACTGCGCAATCGAAATGGCAGACCATGAAAACACTCCTTCTCCGTTATCAGAAGTGGGATCGGCCTTGCCACAGGACAATGAAAGTGTTATAGCTGCATTAGAAGCTCAAAATCGTGCCTTGTTGGAACTTGTGAAATCAATGAACACACCGCGAGTGCCATTAACGGAAGTTAAACCGAATTCCATATCATTGCCGAAATTCGACCCTGATAGTGCGGGCGCGGATGCAAGTGCGTGGTGTAATACAGTTGCATTAATATTTGCTGAAAACAATCTACAAGGCAGTGCTCTTGTCATGGCACTCAGCAAAGCTATGCAAGGAAGTGCTTCCCAGTGGTTGGCGCAAATTTGTTTCAGCGGCATGACATGGCCGCAATTCCAGGAATTGTTTGTGCAACGATTCGTTGGTATCGAGACCCCGGCAGCGACGTTGATGAACATCTTTAATGGGCGTCCAAATCCAGGAGAGAATTAACCCGAATACGGAAGCCGCCTGGTGACGTCGCTCATGTCAAAATTCAAATCAATTGAATTGGAAGAGCTCATCGTATCCATCGTTTTGACGCATCTTTCAAACGTTGATGCTCGCCTTTTAAAGTCAATGTTTACGGGCGCTGTTAAAACCCGCAACGATCTGCAGCAACAATTAAAGACGTATGCGTATTTAAAACGCAACGAATCCTTTGGAAACGAAGTCGAAAGGAAGAAAATGAAACTACCATCTCTAGTGAAGTGTCATCACTGTGGGCGTCTTGGCCATAAGATTGCGGATTGTCAAAAAAGGCGAACGGACGAGAGACAACGGACCACCTCAACTACAGGACAACAACAACGCGCAGTCAACAACAGGACCTGCTTCAAATGTGGGGAGTTCGGGCACTATGCTTCGGAATGCCCACGTAATCGACATAATCTCAAGGAAGTCGAGATTAACAAAAGAGTAAACTTGGTGGCCATAGAACCAAAGGGAGTTTTGAAACAATTTGGTGAGTCTATTCCATTTTGTTTTGATTCAGGCGCTGAATGTTCTCTTGTAAAGGAAAGTGTAGCAGCGAAGTTACAAGGAAAGCGTCAGTTTAGCACAGTGGTTTTAAGGGGCATCGGAAACGAACCGGTGTGGAGCACAGTACAGATAATTTGTAATGTTAATATAAACGAACATTTTATTGAAATATTGTTTCACGTTATTATGGATACTTTTATGAATTTTGATATTCTTATTGGAAGAGATATTTTAAGTCAAGGCTTCGGAGTCGTAATTGAAGCAAATAAATTTGTTATTTATAAGCCTAAAATGGTACAAGCACTGTCGTATGAATTAAATCTGAAAAATCGTTTTAATTTTAATAAAGATTTAAGTGAGCTTGATAAAGAAAAATTAAGTGAAATATTAGAAAAATATTCCAAATCATTTATAGAGGGCATTCCACACACACGAGTAACAACAGGGCTGCTCAGCATACGGCCCATTGATCCACATAAGACTGTTCAGCGTCGCCCATATAGACTTAGTGAAGAAGAAAAGGCTAATGTTAGGGAAATGATTAACGAATTATTGTCTGCAAAAGTTATACGTCCTAGTAGTTCCCCTTTTGCTAGTCCTATGATGCTGGTCGAGAAGAAGAACGGTTCAGATCGTTTATGCGTAGACTACAGGGAACTAAACACAAATACGGTGGCAGATAAATACCCGTTACCACTTATAGCTGACCAAATAGCCCGTATGAGGGGAGCTAGTTTCTTTTCTTGCTTAGATATGGCTAGTGGCTTTTATCAAATTCCAGTTCACCCGGACTCGGTCGAACGGACGGCATTTGTAACGCCCGAGGGGCAGTATGAATTTCTCGCCATGCCATTTGGGTTAAAGAACGCTCCATCGGTGTTTCAACGTGCAATAATTAATGCTTTGGGACCATTAACCCATACCTATGTTATTGTTTATATTGACGACGTTTTGATAGTTGCAGAAACGAAAGTTCAGGCAATGGAAAGATTAGATGAAGTCCTTAAAATTTTAATGGAAGCCGGTTTCTCATTTAACATAAACAAGTGTACATTCCTCACACAGAAAATAAATTACCTAGGGTATGAAGTTAGTGCGGGAGAAATACGACCAAATGGTCGCAAAATAAAAGCACTTGTGGAACTACCACCTCCTCAGACGGTACCTCAGTTAAGACAATTCATAGGATTGGCTTCCTACTTCCGGCAGTTTGTGCCAAAATTTTCAGAGTTATTAAAACCATTATTTCTACTAACTTCTCAAAAATGCAAGGAACTTACATGGAAAGACGAATATGAACAACTTAGACAGAAAATAATAGAAATTTTGACAAGTTCTCCAGTATTGACCATCTTCGATCCCAAACACCCTGTCGAGTTGCATACAGATGCAAGTATGGTTGGTTATGGTGCCATTTTGATGCACCGAATAGATAAAAAGCCGTATGTAATCGAGTATTTTAGTAAATGCACAACTCCAGTCGAGTCCAAATACCATTCTTACGATTTAGAAACTCTCGCAGTGGTGAACGCCGTTAAACATTTCAGGCATTATTTGCAGGGTCTCGAATTTGTGATTTTTACGGATTGCGATTCATTAAGGGCTAGTCGTTCCAAGACCACATTGACGCCGAGGGTACACCGGTGGTGGGGGTACTTACAGGCTTTTCAGTTTCGCATTGAATATAGGAAAGGGGAGAGAATGGCTCATGCTGATTTTCTGTCTCGGAATCCTCTACCCGTCCAAAAGGACTCCCAATTAGAAAAGGTAGTCGAGAAGCGCATAAATTTAACCGAGATCTCCGACAACTGGCTACTCGCCGAACAACAGCGCGATCCAGAAGTTTCTGAAATAATCGAAAAGCTACGTAACGACGAATTAGAGGAATATTTACTAAAAACTTATGAGTTGAGAAAAGGTATGCTTCATCGAAAAATCCAACGCAACGGAAGAACACGCTGTCTGCCCGTAATACCCAGAGCTTACAGATGGGCTGTAATAAACCACGTACACGAAGCTGTAATGCACTTGGGTTGGGAGAAGACATTAGATAAAGTTTATGCGCACTATTGGTTTGCCCACATGTCAAAATATGTTAGGCGTTTCGTAGAAAATTGCATTACATGCAAAATATCAAAAGGCTCTAAAGGTAAAGCGCAGGCAGAACTCCATCCGATTCCAAAAATAGATATACCTTGGCATACTCTGCATATCGATATTACAGGGAAATTGAGTGGCAAGAATGTCCAAAAAGAGTATGTCATTGTTATTATAGACGCCTTTACTAAGTTCGTATATTTGTATCACACTTTGAGTTTAGATACGGAAAACTGTGTGAGAGCAATGAAATCTGTTGTCTCGTTGTTTGGTTTGCCAATGCGTGTGATTGCCGATCAGGGTAGATCTTTTGCCAGTTCCGGATTCCGCGAGTTTTGCTCTTCCCAGAAAATTAACCTACATTTGATTGCCACCGGCGCCAGCCGATCTAACGGTCAAGTTGAACGCGTAATGAGTACGCTTAAAAGTATGCTTACAGCAGTCGAAACAAGCCAGCGCTCCTGGCAAGATGCGCTATTAGAAGTTCAGTTAGCTATTAATAGTACGATTAACCGTGTCACCAAAGTAAGTCCTTTGGAATTAATGATCGGCAGGGAAGGAAGGCCATTCGGTTTGTTGCCTATTACAGAAGAAGAGGAGGTAATAGATAGGGACAAAATTAGAGCGCAAGCCAAAGAAAACATTGATCGGAACGCCAATTACGATAAAAAGAGATTTGATAAAAACAAAGCAAAGATTGTAAAGCACCAGGTTGGTGACTATGTTTTGATTGAAAATGAAGAGAGAAATCAAACGAAGCTAGATCCTAAATTTAAGGGGCCATTTGAAATTATTGAAGTTTTGGAGGGAGACAGATATAAACTAAAGTCGTTAACTAGTAAACGGCAGTATAAATATGCACACGAACATTTACGGTCTCTACCTGATACGCAAATACTTGCAGAAATAGATGAAGAATTTGATCGTTCGATTGATGAAAATAATTAGCTCCGAATGTCAAATGTGTATACGGCTGCACCACGATTCTGTGTGAGTGCGTGGCGGGAGCATATGTATGTGTATACGGCTGCACCATGATCCTATGGGGATGCTTGGCGGGAGCGTATGTGTAAATCCTACGTGGATGCTTGGCAAGAACAATTGTGTGAGACTGCACCACGATTCTGTGTGAATGCGTGGCGGGAGTATATGTGTATACGACTGCACCATGATCCTGTGTGGATACGTGGCGGGAGTCAGGAGGACGAGTTGGTGTCCAATTGGAAATAAAGAGAAATTGTGAAAATGAGTATTGTTGAGATATAACAAGAAACGCTGTTATTGGTTGTATGTTTATGAAATAATTGAATGATTTGGATTAGAAGCTAATGTCAATAAAAAATTGAAAGGAATACTGCTTGTTGTAAAGCTTAATGGGTCATGACCACGCATACACGAGGACGTGTGGAGGTCAGGAAGGCCGTGTCGCAGTTCTCAGAAATATTTGAATTCGATGAACGCTAAAGTTATTTGGCGCTCCGATTTGGTTGTCGCTTGGCATAAGCCGCTGGTTCCTGGTAAAACATGGATTCTAGGAATTCCTGCTCTACTCGTAGCGCGACGGCATTGCCAGATCTCTTTTAGAGTGGCGTAGTCGTCGAGTGAGGCCCGGTCGCCCAAGAGAGAGAGAGAGAACCGGAGAGCAAGAAGTTGCAAGAAGATGAGCTCTGGTATTTGAAGGGTAGTCAGTTTGAATTGGGCTCTTGGCGCGATCGGGACTTACTGCGCAATCGAAATGGCAGACCATGAAAACACTCCTTCTCCGTTATATATATATTCTTGATCAGCATCACTAGTAGAGTCGATCTAGCCATGTCCGTCTGTCCGTCCGTTTCTATGCAAACTAGTCTCTCAGTTTTAAAGCTATCTGCATGAAACTTTCCCAAAAGTTATGTTTCTATTGCAGGTAGTATATAAGTCGGAATGAGCCGGATCGGACGACTATAGCATATAGCTCTCATAGGAACAATCGGAAAAATAAATACAAAAAAAATTATAATTTAGCTGTTTTTTAATTTTTTTCTTAGCTCTTCAACATATAGTATTGGTTAATTATTTCAGAACTACGGTTTACATTTCATCAAAATCGGACGACTATATCACATAGCTTCCAAAGAAATAATAAAAATATATAAAATAACTATCTAATAATTGAGCTGCAAGTCATCATAGCTTCAATGTTTTTCAACATATACGCAATTTTAATGTTTTCAAAAGTATTTAATTCTTGCAATAGCTGCAAGGGTATATGAACTTCGGCTTGCCGAAGTTTGCTTTCTTTCTTGTTTATAATGCAACTTATCAATGTGAAAAATGTGACCAATTTCTGTACACGACTTTCTTTCTTGTTTATAATGCAACTTATCAATGTGAAAAATGTGACCAATTTCTGTACACGACTGTGCAACGCGGATTATTATCGCAGTGTAAAATAAAACTTACAAAAAAACTGGATATTATTCTGAGTCATATCGAATAATAAAATTCTGAAAGCCACTACCAGAAACCAAAGTAAACAGAAAAATTCCTGCGCAGGCAAACTCTAAATAAAGCTTCTCATCCCAACGTATACGAAGTCATTGTAAATGATGAGGTACGAAAAGTAGTGACCTTGCGATTAACGGATTCACTCTGCTTAATAAAGCATGGGAAGAAAGTTATAGCAAGAATTGACATAAGCGATATGTACACCAATGGAATTCTCGACTTAGGTCAGTTCTTTCAAAGGCTTGAAAAACAAGCCGGTATACTAAATATCAGCCATCTCAAAGTAACAACGATCAAAAAGATCTTTGACACCATCTCAACGGAATCTTTCAAAATAATGGGCAATAAAATATTACAATTTCTAAGAGTAGCGCTACTCAAGCCGGTGACCCTATTATCAAATAATGATAAAGAGAAAGAAGCAATACTGTTTACATTCCATAAAGATCCAATACAAGGAGGTCATACAGGCATAGCTAAAACATTAGCAAAAATGAAAAGGTATTATTATTGAAAAAACATGACCAGAGATATATCAAAGTATATAAAAAAATGCCTCAAATGCCAAAAATCAAAAACAACGAAACACACAAGGATCCCATTGACTATCACTGAAACGCCACAAATGGCTTCCGACAGGGCAATTTTGGATACGGTCCACTAACAATATCTTGGTGCAATACCAATACCGAATAAAAGTGCAAATACAATAGCAAAAGCTATATTTAAAGATTTTATTTTGAAGTACGGACCAATGAAGACGTTCGTTAAGGACAGAATATAAAAATTCAATAATAGAAGAATTATGCACAAATTTGAATATCAAAAACATAACTTCTTGGACTACACACCGAAAGTTCTAGCGTCGGCATAATTGTAACACGAACGGACGACATGTGCATTTACCTCGCGCTCCCGCTTAAAAGAGCATAGCCTATACACCTAAGCATATACATAGCCGTCTCTCTGCCGCCGTCTGAGGGCAGCGCAGCGACGAGACTTAGCCTTACTTAGAATTAAAAGAACAATGTAAAAATCAGAAAAACTATAACCGTTGGAGCGGCACCATTGCTGCTCCTACCAAATAAAGAAACGAATTTAACTTAAAAACTTGATGTTTCAATTGTGATCAAAGAGGATACTTTACTGCAACTATGGTGCATCCAGAATTTTCTGTTCTTGAAAACCTCTAAATGTAAATTCATGTCTTTTCATCGCCAATTATTCCATTGCGACGAGCAATCTTGAACGCATTTATTTCGTAAAAGATCTTGGAGTTTTATTTAACTACAACTTAAACTTTACCGATCACATTGGTATACTGTCTGTAAGGCATTTTTGAATTTGTCAAGCCCTGGTTTAACGACTACATCTCAAAACACCTTTAAATTTTTCTTGTTCGACCAATTCTTGAATACTGTTCGTGCGTATGGTCACCTCAATACGCTAAATGTTAGGACCTTATTGAATTAATCAATGGCCAGATTAATTTCTGTAAGAACATCACGCCATATTCGTCCTATTGCACCTAAATTTATTTATCTTCCTTTCGGATACTAACAATAAGTGTATCAAATGTTATGGTAATAACCTAACCAACAGTCGTATGACTGAGTTATGGGGCCCTGAAAATTATTGCTGGGTTGAGAGGTCGTTGCGTTGTAGGCGGGTTCTGCTGGAAACCCAAGTCAAGCCTCGCGCGAGATGATTTGGGTGGACAGAGAGTATTTCATTGTAGGTCGCTTTTTGTTTGTCTATTTCATCTTGTACTGCAAGAATGCCAAGGTCCATGTGGATGTTTTGGTTGCGAAGATACCATGGTGCCCCAGTGATAGTTCTCAGGATTTTTGATTGTGCGCACTGTATGATGTCAATATTGCTGCTGCGTTCCTCCTGGGATGATAATAATAATAAAAGTAATAATAATAATAATAATAATATAAATAATAATAATAATAATAATAATAATAAAAATAATAATAATAATAATAATAATAATAATAATAATAATAATAATAATAATAATAATAATAATAATAATAATAATAATAATAATAATAATAATAATAATAATAATAATAATAATAATAATAATAATAATAATAATAATAATAATAATAATAATAATAATAATAATAATAATAATAATAATAATAATAATAATTATAATAATAATAATAAAAATAATAATAATAATAATAATAATAATAATAATAATAATAATAATAATAATAATAATAATAATAATAATAATAATAATAATAATAAATAAAATTATAATAATAATAATAATAATAATAATTATAATAATAATAATAATAATAATAATAATAATAATAATAATAATAATAATAATAATAATAATAATAATAATAATAATAATAATAATAATAATAATAATAATAATAATAATAATAATAATAATAATAATAATAATAATAATAATAATAATAATAATAATAATAATAAAAATAATAATAATAATAATAATAATAATAATGTACAAGCTACGCCGGAAAACTCGTAGACTCCCTTAAAAAGAAACAAACGTAAAACAAACGGTTCATACAATCAACCTTAATTTCAATCTTTTTGTTTCACTTCGGAATGAACAAACTAAAAAATTATACACATTATTAGTTCATACTGGTGCAGATATTTCGTTAATAAGAGAAAATTGAGATTCATTTAACGTAGATCACACAAATATTATTCAAACATCAGGTGTTGGTGAAGGAACAACCAACTCCAAGGAACTAACTTCAATAGAACTCCTTTCAAACAACTATGCCATCCCACATAATTTTTATTTAGTAACAACAGATTTTCCAATTCCATGTGATGGGATAAATGGAATCGACTTCATGAAAAAATATAATTGTCAAATAGACTTAAAACCAGAAAACGATTGGCTTATACCACTAACCATACAATATATAGACTGGTCATTTCATACAACGAATTTGGACACAAAAAAATTGAAAGCGGGAGGCCCCCCGGGCTCTCAGCAGCAGGTCCCTGCACTTCGTGTGCATTCGGGTTTTTTGCTCTCTCATTCTCATTCTCATTTTTATGCTCGCGCACTCATTGCACGAGTTCAGTCGCAGAGAGGCGCTTTTTGAAGAAGGCTGCCCTGCGCTTGAATTCGCCTTTGTATGTATGCGTGATCATGCATTCTCATACACGGGAGCATGTGTGCGTTTATTTCATTTCGGCGCATCATGAATATTTTGTCTTTTGCCACTTTTCAAACTTGGTACCCTAAGAATATGGGCGTATTTACTATTGGGTTATGATCAAAATATGAATATTATATGTTATAATATATTTTTTTACAAATTCAAATCAGTGGTAGCAGTAAAATGTTTTACATATATGTATGTATTCGAATTAATAGAAATCAGTCCACTGAGATGGATACAGAGCATATCGCAGTCGTGTCACTTAAAACACCGACTGCTCCTCAGTGGTTGAGAAAACTTCAAACTTCAAAAAAAAACCTCAATCAGCTTTTGTCGATGTTTTGCGAGCGGATTGTGCTTGCATACCCTACCGACGATTGCTTTTCAGAGGAGAGAGCTTTTAGTACACTTGATTAGAATGTTATGATGAATTATACGCAGTGTAATTTTAATTGTCTTTAACGATTGTAATTGTCTTTAAGCAATTCTTTATAATCCAAGATATTGGCACAATTCAAATTTAAAATTATTATCATTAAAATAACATTTAAACAAAGTATGCGGATTTTTATATTTGTTCCATTTACCTTTACAAAAATATAAAAAATATTTTATTATTTATTCACTTCACAGGCATTCTATTATATGGATGCCCTAATTGTCATCGGTTGTTCAGAAAAGCATATGATTAAAAACCTCACAAACGTTTCTGATTTATGCAGGAAACACAACCTTAAATTGCATCCAGAAAAGTTCACATTTTGCAGACACGAAGTGACTTTCCTTGGACTTAAGTGTACTGACAAAGGTATTCTACCAGACAACAAGAAATATGAGGTCATAGAAAAATAGCCAGTTCCAACGGACGCAGATAGCGCTAGAAGATTTCTTGCATTCTGCAATTATTACAGAAGATTCAATAAAAATGTTTCCGATTTTTCACGACTCAACGCGTTTATGCAAATAGAATGTAAAATTCGAGTGGACAGATCAATGTCAAAAAGCCTTCGAGTACCTAAAAAAAAACAACTGATGAAACCAACATTATTACAGTATCCCGATTTTAATAAAGAATTTTCCATTACAACCAGTAGCGTAGATAGGGGGGGATCAGGGGGATCAATCCCCCCCTTGGCTCTGAGAATTATAAGATGATATAATCTCAAAATTGAAAAAGAAACACATTTTTCTTCTGACTGTGCAGTACAGCATATTAAAGTTTCGAATGCCCGAGTTATGTTCAATACTGTTGACTTCTTGTCAACCGACAAATTCTTCCTGGAATCTTTTAGCTTGCCAGCGGTCGCTGCGTTTGCCAGGATTTACGCAGTTTTGGCATCTGCCTGCCGGTTTGTTGTTCATCAGGTGGGTTCGTGGAAAATATGATAACTCCAGCGCTTCTAACGGACCGACCAATCATGCGACCTCCAAGTGATACTTCAGACAGTCACAGTGCCTCCCAGTTTACTACGTGCTGCGGCGCTGCATCAGCTGCATATAATAGTTTCGATTATGCATTTCGTTTATATTCTATTAAAATGAAGCGATTTTTAGTACCTGTAAAACCATTTTGCAAACCTCCAAAAACTGAAGACAATGAAGAAGCGCAATCATCTGTCGAAACAGCCGTGAAAAACCTCGGTATGCTGCATCGGGTAGTGAAAATACGGGCGATCAAAGCTCATGTAGTGAAGGCAACAAAAACGTTAAACAACGTAAATAAACACGACGTCGGAAATTTTATTGGCATCAGACTTAGTGAATCTCAGAGGCTGGACTTATTAACAAATGCTTGGGTTCCGCCAAAAAATTACTTTTTTCCATTGCTGCAAAAATTCGAAACTCGAAAATTAAAATTTTGTTACAAATGGTTTGATGAATTTTCCTGGCTTGCTTACTCAGAATTGCATCATGGTGCATTTTGTGTTCCGTGTGTAGCATTTGCTGTAAGCGGTGACAAAGGGTCACAACCTTTAGGTCATTTGGTGAAAGTGAAATTCGATAATTGGAAGAAAGCAAAAGAGGTGTGTACCATAATTATCATCCGAGCCAGCAAACCCGGGACCTCTCAATTTCGCGTGGAGTGCTCTAACCAACTGAGCTACTTCGGAATCCTAATTTGCTCGCTGAAAACCTCCAATTTATGTTTGAAGTTACTTTTTGTCTAACTAGAGATCGACATTATCACGAATTTGTTTATCCGTCAAAAAACCTTTGACGTTGACGTTCAATAAATTGAGTGGAAATATTGAAAAAATCAATTTATCTTAAAATTGATTTTTCACCCACTGAAAAGCTTGAATTTCTTCCTCGATAAGAGAATTTTTATACCCTTGCAGAGGGTATTATAATTTCAGTCAGAAGTTTGCAACGCAGTGAAGGAGACGTTTTCGACCCTATAAACTATATAAGTGACGTATTTCCAAATACTCCAGACATCAAGCCTAACACCCAACCTGTATATCCCGAGATACCCATTACTTCATTTGTCAAACATAACACCCAGCCTGTATATCCCGAGATACCCATTAATTCATTTGTCAAACATAACATTTCAGAGCCTACTATAGGAGTTATTCAAATTAATCAGACATAAACATTTCCCGTTAGACATAAACATTTCCCACGCCTGTTATCAACAGTCCCCTTATTATAAACATTTCACACGCCTTTACCGACGACAGCAGACATAAACAAGAGGTAAACTTTTAAACAAAGGGTCCAGCATGAGAACCCATTCATCAGCATAAAAGCTTTGACCAATCCAAATTTAATAAACAAAAGATGCAGCCTGACAACCCACCCATCAGGCCACTAATTCGACCAATCCAAATCTTCTGATCGAAGTCCACTTTCGCTGCTAGCGTCGCTGTCACCGATAAAAGCTATAGTTATAAGAATAATGCAATTGTAAAGACAGTTCAATTTTGGGAATCTAACTATTAAGACATTACCAATAAAACTCCACTGTATATTAAAATAAAAATCGCTTTTTTTTTAATATATCGCAAAGTGAAAAATCTAATTGGCGCAGCCGGTAGGATACAAGTAATATCCTCGCGAGTGACTACCTAAAAAGGACTTCAAAAAATCACTTCGTGAAAATAAATTTATTTGTATCCGCAAAACGAACTTACTTAAATATTGTGAAAATAAAACAACAACATTAGTCAAATCACGAATGAGGATTTCTAATGTCTTAATTCAGCGATAATAAATCAAATAACTGATATATTTCGTGTAAACAAAATTGTTTTAAAAGAAAAAAAAAAAAAATTTTTAAAACTGTAAAAATGGAAATGCCATCAACATCAACAGCAGCCGCAGCCACAGCCGCAAAAGCAACACAAATTCTTACAGACGTGGCCATGAACCATTTTCTTCTGCAACTTAAGCAGATAAACAAATTTAATGGAGACCCACTCTACTTGGCTCTCTTCATAAAGGAAGTTGACGAACTAGTGTACCATTATCCGACAACATCAGAAGCCCAACATCAAATTATACAAGCAGCCATCCGAAACCTTCTAATAGGACGAGCCCGAACATTGTTGATGAGAAATATACCACAGGACTGGAAGGAATTAAGGACTTTACTTATCAGCGAATACAACAGTGCAACACCTCCACATCGGATGATTATGGAATTACGTGAGACTAAATATAAAAATAATTTACGTAGATTTGTCGAAGAATTAGAAGAACAAACAAGTAGAATATGTTGTAAACTCAGCTTAGATAACAATCCATCAAACACGGTTTTAGTTTCAAGAACTTTGAATGATACATTAGCTGAAGTGATTCGCGAAAAATTGCCAGTTCAAACATACATTACGTTGAGCAAATTTGACATATCAACTCCTCTCAAATTAAAACAAGCTGCCCAAGCTGTAGGATTGTTTGTAGATAAACCATTAAATACCCGCTCGTATACATCCCAAAACTCTAATGATGACGACGAATATCAATACTTTAGATCAGCAAGAAACTTTAACCCAAATAATCAGTCAGATAATATTCAAAGAGAAAAAATCCAAAATAATAACTACCAAAATCGATATAACAACAATCAACAGAGACAGAACAAGTTCGACTCAAATAGGAACTGGGGTAATAATAGCAGTTATAATAATAATTCTTCTGGCAATCAATATTATCCTAGATCTTTTCAAAATAATCAAGTACAAAATGCCCAGACTACTCAAAGTACTAATATTCCCCAAAAACGTGCCCGAACCTCAGACTCAGGTCAACAACGTAGAACTGAGCCAATGGACACAAGTGAAAATTTTCAGACAATAGCCTCGGAAGAAACACCACCGCAATAAAAATTAAAATTGATAACAAACTATGCCTCTGTCTTATTGATACAGGCTCAAGCATAAATTTGATAAACGAAAACTTTTTGAAATATCCAACTAAAAATATTTCGACAAAAGTCCAAACGATAGGAGAATCTGTAACTTTAGAAAAATATATCGAATTTAGCATCCCAAAATTATTTTCATCCAAGCAAACATTTTTTTTAAAAAACTTTTCAAATCATTATGATATTCTCATAGGAAGAAAAATTCTAAAAGAAACCTCAGCCAAAATTGATTTCATGAGAAATACTATTATTCTAAATAATTACGAATTCCCAATGATAAATATAACGGAATCAAACTTTTTCAAGTATAACAAACGATGACGAATATATTTATGCCATGCAAACAGACTTAACAAATAATTATTTAAGAGACGATCACTTAAATAATGAAGAAAAAACTGAACTTCATTATTTAATGTCCAAGTATTTTGATATTCAGTATCGAGAAGGTGACAATTTGACTTTCACGAACGAAATCAAACACATAATAAAAACAAAACATGAAGAACCGATTTATAGGAAACCATATAGTTATCCGTACATTTATGACACAGAAGTAGAAAAACAAATTGAGGAAATGATAAATCAAGGTATTATCAGAAAATCAAAATCTCCTTATTGTAGTCCTATTGTAATGGTACCAAAGAAAAAGGATGCATCGGGCATTCCCAAATTTCGTATGGCCATTGATTACAGAGGACTCAATGAAATAACCATAAATGACAAATTTCCTATTCCAAACATGGATGAAATTTTAGATAAATTAGGTAAATGTCAATACTTTACAACATTAGACCTAGCTAAAGGATTCCATCAAATTGAAATGGACCCAGGATCTATACAAAAAACTGCATTTTCCACCAAGAAAGGTCACTATGAGTATACTAGGATGCCATTTGGTCTAAAAAATGCCCCAGCGACATTTCAGCGTTGCATGAATAATATTTTATACGACATAATAGGTACCCATTGTCTTGTGTATTTGGACGATATTGTCATATTTTCAACCTCATTGCAAGAGCATATCCAATCTCTTAAAAAAGTATTCGAACGTCTTCGCAGATCAAATCTTAAACTGCAATTAGATAAATGTGAGTTTATGAAACGAGAAACTGAATTTTTAGGACATATAATTACAACTGAAGGAATCAAAGCAAATCCAAATAAGATTCAAGCTATTCAAGATTTTAAAATTCCAAACTCTCCGAAACAAATAAAATCATTTTTAGGCCTTTGCGGATTTTATCGCAAATTCATAAAAGATTTCGCAAAAATCGCAAAACCAATGACTCTTTGTTTAAAGAAAGGAGCCAAAATAAATGTTAAAGATCCAACTTATAACGAAGCATTTGAAAAATTAAAAACTCTAATAAGTAACGACCCAATTCTCACATATCCAGATTTCGAAAAAAAGTTTGATTTAACTACAGATGCAAGCAATTATGCATTAGGTGCTGTTTTATCTCAAGAAGGTAAGCCTATTTGTTTCGCCAGTAGAACTTTAAATGAACATGAGTTAAATTACGCAGCTATTGAAAAAGAACTACTAGCTATAGTATGGGCAACCAAATATTTCCGCCCTTATCTTTTTGGAAGAAGTTTTAAAATATGCTCAGACCATAAACCGCTTGTTTGGTTACATAATATAAAAGAACCTAATATGAAGTTACAACGTTGGAAAATTAAACTTAGAGAGTTTGATTATGAAATAAAATACATTAAAGGAAAAGAGAATCACGTAGCAGATGCTTTATCAAGAATTACAAAAAAGGAAACTAAAGATAAAAAATTTGAAGAAGTTTTTCAAAATGATGATGAATTAGAACCTACTGCAGCAACAGTGCATAGTGCACAAGAAGATAATGGCAATTGCATACAGATCACAGAACGACCTATTAACGTTTTTAATCACCAACTAATATTTGAAAAAGGAAATAAAGACACTAACGAACTTACTCACTACTTTAACAAAACTATTAATAAAATAATTTACAGTGACATGACTGACCGTTTAGCAAAAGATATAATTATAAAATTCATATGTGGACACAATTTTGTTATGTTCATTAATAATGACGAAGACTTTGCTATCTTTCAACGAGCCTATATGGATTTAATTAAACCAAACACTGGTACAAAATTAATGAAAACTTCAGTAATACTTCCCAACTTGTCCACATATGCAGACTTCCACGAAAAAATATTAGAAATACACGAAAAGACGATACACCAAGGCATTAAAAAGACGTATGACGATTTTAAAACTAAATACTATTTCCCAGACGCACAAAAACTTATTCAAAACATAATAAATAAATGTGAGGCCTGTAATTTATGCAAAGCAGAGCACAGAAAAGTTGCACTCCCTTTTGAAAAGACTCCTGAAACTCAAAATATTCGTGACAAATATGTTATTGACTATTATTTTATTGACCAACGTAAATTTTTGACATGTATTGACATTCATTCAAAATTCATTTCTATCATAGAAACAAAAACCACAGACTGGATTGAAAGTAAAAAAGCATTACTCAAAATTTTTAATATGATAGGTAAACCGAAAACTATAAAAATGGATCAAGATCCCGGTCTAGTATCCAAATCTTTACAAAACTGGCTACAGAAAGAAAACATCAATATTGAAATCACTAGTAGTAAAAACGGTATAGCTGACATAGAAAGGGTTCATAAAACAATTAACGAAAAACTTAGAATCATAAATAAACTCTCAGATGCTGAAGACAAATTAATGAATATAGAAAAAGCAACTTATGTCTATAATCACGAAATAACCCATGATGCCACTGGTAAAACCCCTGCTCAA